GAGGCGTACTCTTAAGAGAGGGGCCCCAGGAATTGTGGTTGTACATCGGCTGCACTGTGCCGCAAAGTCCCGAAGGCCTAACACACAGTAGGTGCCATCAAATACTCGTTCGGTGAATGAGTGAGTGAATCTGCCCTTGCAGGCTCTGCTCGAAGTCACTGCCTCCAGGAAGCCTTCCGGGTTTCGCCAGCGCAATGTCATATCGCCCACTCCCCAGCCAGGCTCTTGCCCTGCCACACCGTAGGCCTGAGGACTCGGGACAGGCTGGCGCCTCGGGGTCCTCCTCCCCGCAGTACTCCCACTTTTCCACACAAAATCTCCTGCTTTTTGCTGGAAAGTTCGGCCTTGTGACTGCGGGCGCCAGGACCCCGCGGAGCCAGTTCCGGAGCGGCCCCGGACTCCCATTCCCAGAATGCCCCGGTTTATTTGCATCTTTCCGTCCCGTATGACGTCAGCTGACTGAGGCGACGCCTCGACCAATGGGCCGCCTCGAGGTGTTAGGACCTGGCCATATAAGGTAAACAAACCCGGCGGCCCAATGAGGCGGCGGCGGGGGCGGGCACTGGGCCGGGCGCGTCACGTGGCGGACGGGGGCGGGGCCGGGAGCGGGGGTGGGGCGTTGCGGCCTGTGTTTACAGCCCTGCACATGCTGCTTCCGGATGACGTCGCTTGCCGGCGCGTGTGGCCCGGGCTGGCTTCGAGCGGGGACGGGGGCCGCGGTCTGGCTCTGTCACCCCCACCCTGAGTGACCTTGGCCCGGTTCCCTGGGCTTCCTGGCCCGGGTTTCATGCGTGGAACCACTGTTTGTTGGACCTTTACAGTGTGTCTGGCTCTCACCTGACCCTGGTTACTGCGGAGACCAAAACCAGGCTGGGTGGCTGTGCCGTGGGGGGGAGGGGGGGAGGAGAAGCGTATGTCAGAAATCCAAGGACACATCTAGCATTGCAAGTATGGGAAGTGCCCTAAAGAGGCAGGCACTGGTCCTGGGGGTGGGTTAAGGGCCATTGAACGGTTTTAGTAGTATCTGATTCCTCGTTCGCTTTAGGATCACTGTAGATGCGGCAGTGTGGGGACCAGATGGTGGTGGAGATGTCCAGTCCGAATTAGGCCATGTTCTGGGTGTGTCTGGTTCTAGGGGAATCTGCCTTTGCCTGAGGAATTGGATTGAGGGGAGAGAACTGCCTCAAATGGGAGTAGGAAGGATGGGAGAGCAGCCAGCTGTTTTTTTGGGTGAGCCCTACCTGGGCCCCTCAACTCTGCCAGGGGCACTCCCATTGGGTAGGGGAGGAAGATAATGGGGGGCTGGTGGACAGGGCCGGCAAAGTCTGGGAGGGTAGGGGAACTTGGGGAGTCTGGGGCCCCGAGATAGCTATGAGGGTTGGGGAGGGAAGGGAGTCAGGCCGCAGTGGGACTGCTAAGCCCTCTCAGGACTAGAGCTGGGAGCTTGGTCCAGGGGCAGGAGGGAAGGACACGGTGTCCCCCTTCCCCAGGCAGGCGCCTGACTCCTGGCAGAAGCTACCTTCCACGGGAAATACGGTTTTGACTTCTTTCCTGACTAGTGGGGATCGCTCAGGGACCATCGTTTTTTGCAAACACTGATGGTGCCAAGAAATTTTTGCTCTGCTAAGAATCGCCCCTTACCTTTGCAAAGAGTTGTTATGTGTGAATTAATGTGGGCAAAGCGCTCAGCACAGGGTAGGCACACAATAAAGACAGCTCTGAACATGATTACAACCATCATTATTGCCACTGGGACTGCAACACAGTCTGCTGGAAGGTGGGCAAGTTCTGGAGCCAGTCTTGACTCCACTTCTTAATGTGTTGGGCAAGTCACTTTGGCTCTGAGCTTCAGTTTACTCGTTTGTAGAGCTCTGAGCTCTCCAGCGCTACTGTGGAGGATTAATGCCTATGAGGTGCTTAACTCAAACCCCGTTGTTTCCATTTGGACCACTATGGGAAGCCCCAGCCCCATTTTACAGATAAGGAACTGAGGCTGGAATCCAGCCTTACACTTTGGCGTTCAGAGCCAGTGGAGAAGAGTAGGCACCCAGTGGGCCAGCAGGGTGTATTTCTGGCAAGAGAGGGTGGGCACTGTCCTGGCAGGGCCCACGGGGAGCTTTTCTTGCTCAAGGAGGCAGGACGTGCCTTCACCCCTCCCCTGCTCTCACCTAGGTACCACTCAGGCACCTGTCCAGGCTTGCCCAGCCTAGAAGAAGCACTCCCAGGCAGTTGGCTGGGGCAGATGGAGCTGGCAAGGGCAGAGGGTATCCCACTGGCCTCTCATCCCCTCCCCCACCCCAGCCAGTTTGTTTTCCCAGGGTTAGCAGGGAAGGAAAAAACAACGTTGTTTTTAGTTAGGATCCGCCAGGCTGGAGGTTGGACTTTGGATTTCTTGGCAGGCCAGGATGGGACCTGACAGGTGGGGCCAGTAGATGGGGGAAGGAAAGGGAGAAGGCATTTCCAGCAGCGCTCTTAGACTACCTGAGGGCCAGGGAGATTGAGAGCCTTGCCAAAGTTCACGTGGCCAGTCAGTGGAGGGCCCAGGGCCCTGTCTGCCTCCTCCCCTCCCCCATTCTTTCATTCAGTCCACAGATGTGTTTGTCAGACACCCACTGTGTGCTAGGTTCAGGGAGCACAAGAATGAATAGGCCAGGATCCTGCCCCCTCAGTAGGCTTGAGAAGAAGTCTAGACTTGAGGGACTCAGACCAGGAGACCATGAGCTTCCCCAGGTCTGTCTTTGTTTCAGAGGACACAGTGCTGGCTGATTGAGGGGTCTCAAGATCTGGCCCCTCCCATACTCATGATGTGAGCTTCTGTACTCCCCCGCTCACTTGATTCTAGCCCATTGTGTTTGAGCTCCTGGACTATGCTCAGCTCTTTTTTGCCTCAGGGCCTTTGCACATGCTGTCACCCCTACCTGGAATCTTGAGCAGACTACACCCTTACACTTTACTTGGTTGGCTGTTTTCTGTATTTCAAGTCTTGGCTTAGATGTCACCTCCTCAGAGAAGCATTCCCTGACTCGCCTATCAGTAGTAGATCTCTCTTATTATTTCATCTCACCTCAATTCATTTCCACAGAGCACCCACTGCATTTTGAAATATACACTTGTTAACCTTTTTAGTGTCTGTTTCCTTACTGGCCTGCAGGTTTCATGTGTACCTTGTTCCACCATTTGATCTCTGTTGCCTGGCTTGTCACCTCTCACATAGTAGCTGCATGATAAATATTGGTTGAATAAGTATTTGTAAATTAATCACCCAAGATGTTGACAGTGGAACTTGGACCAAATGAGGAAGGACCTGTCTCCCAGCTGGGCGTAGATAAGCACAGAAAAATATAGCTGGAGGGCCTTTGAGGACACTTTGAGTCCAAAGCTCTGTTAAGAAGAATGTTTAGTTATTTAATGTCCAGGCTCCATAGCGAGGATGCGGTCTTAGTGTTATCTTTCAATGCGAACAGCAGGGTCCTCAGGATTCTCCCTCCCTGCCCACAAACAAGGAGGGCAGTGAATTGAATGCAATGTTGGTATATGTATGTGTGTATACATCTGTATGTTATGTGATTCCAAGGAAAGAAATTTAAAATAAGAGATGAAAGATCACACTGGGTGGGGGTATCTTCAGGCCCATCGACGGGGTTGGAGGCAAGAGACTTTAAATCTGGCACATTGGAACATTTCTGTCTCTGGGGAGGCAGGGGAGTGTGGAGGTAAGAGCAGTGGCCGGGTTCAAATTCCAGTTTTACTGCTTATCTACTATGCACGCTGAGTTGGGTACTTCACTTCTTAGAGCCTCACTTTCCCCTTCCGTAAATTGGGAATGACAATAGAGTCTACATCAGAAAATTAAGTGAGAGGATATGTGCAAAGCTCTCAGCACGATGACTGGCACGTGGTAAGTGCTCAGCAAATGTGGATCTTGGTCGTGGGGCAGGGAGATTTAATCAGGCCCCCCTAAGACCTGGACTGTTCTCATAATCACACAAGTCCCTCATCTCTCTTATTCATTTGGGTTCCCAAGGTCCCCTGACAATAGGAAGGTTAGATCCTGGATTCTGGCCCCTGGAAAGGTATAGGGCACATTTTAACGTGGGCTGTGGTGAATTTACCATCTGAAACTCTTAGCTTGCCGCTGCTCTTCCTAGCTGTTTTCTTGGCACAGCAAGCTTGACTTGGGAAATCAATCTTCTCGGAAACCCGGTTCTTCAGCCGAAAAGTGGGCAAAAACAGATCCCAGCTTGGCCTGTTTACAGAGTTGTGTGCGAGTCAAAAACCAGGAAGCACTTTGCAAACTGCGAGGTGTTTGTCCTGACCTCGATTCTTGCAAACTTGTCTTCAACACTTTATATGCGGCATTCCCTCCTTGTGTCTTAGTTTTCCCAGGCGTAAAATGGGGAGAACTCTGCCGCCTTCAGTGGAGGCTGTACAATTATGTCTTCAAAGTAATTGTTCTGGACGTGAGGCCGGAGAGATGAGTCTTGGCAAAGACTAAAGAAGGTGCTTCGCTTCCTCCGCGTGCACTGCTCCAGGTAAGCTTGGGTTCCACCCTAGGTCTTTCTGGGTAGCAGGTAAAGGTGTGCCCTCTCCTGGCCGGGGCAGGAGACGAACCCTGGGAGGTAGGGAGAACCACGGTGGCTCAGGAAGATATTTCAGAGAGGGGCAAATGGAAGGCATTGGGTCCTTAGGAGGGTCTATATATGAACATATTTTGAAGAGACTAATGATGTTAGTGCTGCACTTGGAACGCAGAGGGAAGGACAATTTGCGGTGCGGTTGACGGTTCCTCCCCTCTGGATTTAGGTCCATTTGGTTTGTCCCGGAGCGTCTGTCAGCACCGTCCGAAGGCTGGGCGAGGCGCATCCTGGGAAATGTAGTTCGCAGGCAGGCTTCCCGCGCTGCCGCCCGTGTCCCTTGGCGGCCAGAGGACTCCATTTCCCAAGGTGACCTGGGGCCTGGGGGTGGAGGGCCGCCGTGGCGTCGGACCCCGGGGCGAGCCAGGGGTGCTCGCCGCGAAGGCCGTGGACAGGCGTCCGTGCGTCCTGGTCCGGGCATGTCCGCGTGAGGACGCCGCTGCCGCCCTGTCTCAGCCCCCGCCTGGTCGCGCCGCACACCATGGGCTCCATCCTGAGCCGCCGCATCGCGGGGGTGGAGAACATCGACATCCAAGCCAACTCGGCCTATCGCTACCCGCCCAAGTCCGGTGAGCGCGCGGCCCGGCCCCCACGCGCGGACGGCGAGGGCAGCCTGGGACGCGGGACGCGGGGCGAGGGCGGGGGACGCCCAGCTCGGCCCGGGACCCTCTGTGCCACGTTCCTGCCTGGAAGTCCCGCGACGCCCCTCGTCCTGGAGCCCGAGGCGTGGCTGGAGGCTCGGGATGCGCTCGCCGGAGTCCTACCCGGCGCTGCCACTTTCCGGCTGGTGACCTTGGGCCAGTCACTTCGCCCGTGTGCCTCCGCTTCCTCGCCTGTAGGCCGGGGAAGCTGCTTACTAGCAGGGAACTGCTTGGGCTGGGTTAGGTGCATAGCACGGGGCCTGGCGCATCGCTTGTGCTTATAAAGTGTTCATTGTCCTAAGCGTTGACCTCATCACTGGCTAGTTTTCGTTTTCTTTGGTGGCGTGGTGTGAAGACTAGGGTCAGGGCTTCTGGACACATTCCATATCATCTGGGCAGAGACTTAATTCTTCTGGTGTGTGGGTGGGGAGAGTGGGGCTGGCACCAAGGGGGTGATTATAATTGATGGGGGGAGGGACTGGGGTCTCTGCTGAGAGGGCAGGGCCTCCAGCCAAGCTGGAGAACCGGAGAATGGCTGGAGGAGACCTACCGGATTATCTGGTCTCCGTTTATGGCTGAGGGATCAGAGCCACCAGGGAGGAAGTGACTTTCCCAAGGTCTCAGAGCTGGTTGGAAGTATAGCTGGGACGGGGACCAGCCTCGTTCCCAGTCAGTTCAGCTGCTTCTGTTGATGAGCGCGGCCTGACTGAGAACTTTTAGCTCCAGTTCCTCACATTACAGCTCCACATAGGGTCATTAGTGGTGGAAAGGAGAGAAGAAATAGGAAAGACAATTTGATAGGAGAGACAATTTGGACATCATGGGGACATCTATGCGTGTGGTCCAGGACCACCTGCTCCCAGAAGTGGGGAAGCTTGTTAAACATCCCAGGCCCTGCCTCATACCTGCTGGGGGCTAGGAACCTGCATTTTAAACCCATTTCTGGGGTAAGTCTGATGTCTGCTTAAGTTTGAGAAACTTGTCTGCCCTGATTATGGAAGGTGAAAGAAGGTCTGGGGCTACTAGGATGAAAGGGGTCGGGAGGGAAACTAGCACAGTTTAGGGGCGTTTGGAAGGGGATGGAGTCAGAACTGGGCAGGACACGCTCTTGCCCACCAGTCGGGAAGATCTTCATGCCTGGCCCAGTGTAGGGCTGTAGGCCCAAGGTTTCCTCTGGAGGCTCTGAGGGCTGATATTCCCAGATCTGATAGAGCAGTGTTGTCTTCTTCCATCTCTGATGTCCTTCCAGCCTGTCTTTGGCTGAGTGCCCTTGGTCAAGTTGGTTAACTTCCTGGATCACAGTTTCCTCATCTGTAAAGTGGGCTGATACTTGCACAGCACTCAGAACGATGCCTGGCACATGAAAAGTCCTTGCCAAGTGGTAGCTGCTCTAATTGCTTAAAAAAGAAAGTGGTAGGCCGGCCCGTGGCTCACTCGGTAGAGTGCGGTGCTGATAACACCAAGGCCACGGGTTCGGATCCTATATAGGGATGGCCGGTTTGCTCACTGGCTGAGCCTGGTGCTGACAACACCAAGCCAAGGGTTGAGATCCCCTTACCGGTCATCTTTTAAAAAAAAAAAAAAAAAAAAAAGAAAGTGGTGATTGACTCAGACCCTGCTATCAGTTAGCAGTGGCCTGGCAGTGTATCAGTCTGTTTTTTCTTGCTTATAACAAAATGCCTTAGACTAGGCAACATATAAAGAAAATTGAGTTTATGTTTTACACTTTGGGAGGCTGGGAAGTCCATGGTCCAGGGAACACATCTGTTGAGGGCCGCCTTCTTGGTGGGGGCTTTCTACACCAGCAGGGTGTCACATGGCAAGAATGGCATGAGTGAGAGAGTTAACTGCTCACTTTCTCTCCTTGTAAAGCAATCAGAACTTCTCCTTGATAACCCATTAAACCATTAATTCATTCATTACTCCATGAATGGATTAATCCATTCACAAGGGTACAGTCCTCACGATCTAGTCACCTCTTAAAGGGCCAACCTTTCAAATACTGTAATCAGATTTCCCACCCTCTTAACACTATTACAGTGGGGGTCAAGTTTCAATGAGTTTTGGGGGGACATTCAGTCTACAGCACAGAGATACCAAGAAGTTTAATGTGGCACCTCCTGTCACCTGGGACCTGAGCACACTTGATGTCCCTTCACTTGGGCATTGGGACAAAACAACAAATATGGCATTGACAGCATCGTTTTTGGATTCTGCTGTGGCAGACGTTGCTGATTACTCATGACACTCTCCCACCGAGCCTGAACTTGGTTTCAGAATTTGTCACAGAACACCCCAGTCAGCCACTAATTGATTGGCGCAGGCACTGCAGGTTACAACCACTGGCTACGTGGTTTACGCTGCCAGTGAGAGTAGTGTTCTCCTGGGCCTTGCAGTCCGAAGGCTGTCCTCTCTGGCTAATAATTCCCCTTTCTGTTCCTCATCCTTCCAGGCAAACTTGCAGACACTTGGGCCTTTTGTTGTTCATCTGTCCTTGTCCCTAGCATTGCATGGGGGGCTCAGTATCCTGGTCCCATGCTTTGGGTTCCATGGGCTTCTCGAGATTCCTTGGGAAAACTCCATAAGCTCAGGGAGGGTCAGTGGAAAGCAGAAGGGGCCTTAGCAGTACTTCAGTGTGTCTACCCAGGGGTGGACCGGGGGACTGCAGAGATGTTTAAGGTGATATTAGGGGTGCCCCCATGGACCGTTCAATCACTTTATGAGAAAATTGTTATCTTTTCAGGTCTCTTGTCAATTTTCTTGATTATGTCAAGGAGAAGTAATCATTGAGTGCTAGTATCTTTTTAATACCTCTCTAACACTGTTCAATTTTCTTTCCTTTATGGAACTTTCAGCATGTGCTGCAAGAGTGCTTAGCCTGAATTTAATAACAGTTCCTTTATTTTCATTGCATTTATTTTATTCTTAACAGCTTTACTGAGGTATAATTCATGTACCATACAACTCATCCGTTCTAAATACATGATTTGATGATTTTTAGTAAATTTGTGGAATTTACTAAATTCTACATTTACTAAATTCAACCATCACCACAACCAATTTTACACACAAAAGTTTCTTTGTCCCCATTTGTGATCAGTCCCTGCTCCCGCTTCTACCCCCAGCCCATCACTGATCTGCTTTCTGTCTTTAACTTACATTTGCCTTTTGTGGATGTTTTATATAAATGGAATTATACAACATGTAGGCTTTTTTGTGTGTGTGTCTGGCTTCTTAGCATATTTTCAAGGTACACCCCTGTTGTAGCATGCATGTATACTTCTGTTGCGTGGTTACGGTACATTTTATTTACCTTTTCACCCATTAATGAACATTTGTGTTGTTTCCACTTTTTGGCTATTATGAATCAATGCTGCTATGAACATTGGTGTACAATTTTTTGTGTGGACATGTATGTTCATTTCCCTTGGCTATGTACCTAAGAGCAGAATTACTGGATCATATGGCAACTCTTTGCTTAACCTTTTGAAGAACTTCTGTTTTCCCAAAGTGGCTGTACCACTTTACGTTCACTTCCACTAGCAGTATATGAGGGGTCCAATTTTTCTACATCTTGAGCAACCCTTGTTCACCTTCTTGATTATAGCAAGATAGTTGGTATGAAGTGGTATCTCATTGTGGTTGTGACTTGAATTTCCCTAATGAATGATGATGTTGAACATTTTTTCATGTGCTTATTAGCCATTTATATATCTTTTCTGTGTGTGCATGAAATGTCTGTTTAAGTCTTTGGCTCACTTTTTAAAAGCAGGATTGTCTATCTTCTTACTGAGTTGTACGAGTTATGTACTCTTTATATATTCTAGATACAGTTTCTTTATGGGCCATGTGATCTGCAGATATTTTCTCCCAGTCTGGCTTGTCTTTTGAATTTTCTGACTGGTGTCTTTTGAAGAGTAAAAGTTTTTAATTTTGATGAAGTCCAATTTATCACTTTTTAAAATGGATAATGCTTTTGAAATCATGTTTAAGAAATCTTTGCTTAGCCCAAGGTCACAAAGACTTTCCTCTTTTTTTATTTTCCTAGAAGCTTTGTAGTTTTAGCTCTTCCCTGTAGGTCTGTGATTCACTTTGAGTTAATTTTTTTATCCTATGGTTTGAGGTAAAGATCTAAGGTCATTTTGGAGGGCCGGCCCGTGGGTCACTCGGGAGAGTGTGGTGCTGATAACACCAAGGCCAAGGGTTTAGATTCCTATATAGGGATGGCCGGTTAGCTCACCTGGGAGAGCGTGGTGCTGACAACACCAAGTCAAGGGTTAAGATCCCTCTACCGGTCATCTTAAAAAAATAAATAAATAAATAAAATAAGGTCGTTTTTAGTGTATGGAATAATTCGGTTATATCAACATCATATGTTGTAAAGACTGTCCTCTTCCCATCAAATTGCCTTTGCACCTTTGTGAAAAATCAGTTGACCATAAATTTGACAGTTTATTTCTGGACTCTCCATTCTTTTTCATTAATCTCTATGTCTGTCCCAGTGGTTCTTTACTGGGGTGATTTTGTCCCTAAGGGGACAATTGGACATGTCTGGAAACATTTTTGATTGTCACAGCTGGGGGTGTTATGTATGTGTAGCTGGCATCCAGTGGGTAAAGGCCCCAGGGCAGCCCCCAACAACAAAGAATTATGCGCAGTGCTGAGATTGAGAAACCCGGGTCTGTCCTTATACCAGCACCACACTGGCTTGTTTACTCTAGCTTGATAGTAAGTTGTGAGATAAGATAGTGTAAGTTCTCCAACTTTGTTCTTTTTCAAAATTGTTTTGGGTATGCTAAATCCTTTTCATTTCTGTATAAATGTTACAACTAGCTTGTCATTTTCTACAAAAACAGCCTACTAGGATTTTGATTGGGATTACATTGACTGTATAGGTCAACTTGGGGAAAATTGCCATTTTTACAGTG